CATATACACAATAAAACCAAATAAATCTATAAAATAACGACAAAAATTAATAAACCTAATGATAGACACACATTGTATCAATATTTTGTGAGCCCGCCTTTGGCATCAATAATTGTTTGGACGCGTCGAGGCATGCTTTCAATACATTTTAATGACATTTCTTTTAAATTTATATCGTGGTTCCAATAATATATAATTTTTTCAATCAAATTAACTTTGTTTGTAATATTTTCTTTTGAATTTTTTCTCTTCAGGAGTTCCCAAACATTTTCTATTGGATTGACGTCTGGTGAGTTACCTGGCCAATCCAATAATAGAAATTTTTCTTCTGAGAGGAACTTTTTTATAGATTTTGCAGTATGGCAAGGGGCACCATCTTGCATAAATATAAATTTTCTCCATTTCTCCAAACCAATCCCTTAATTGTGGTAACAATCGATGTTGCAAGACATCTCGATAATGGTCTTGCCTCATAATGCCCTCTACAACGTAGAGTCGACCCAAACCTTTCCCGCTTATCACGGACCAAATCATGACAGAAGTCGGATATTTCACAGTTTTTATAACACAGTCTTCGTGATATTTTTCCGATATTTTACGGCGAACATACTGAGCTTTGTTTGTCATCACTTGGAATGTGCTCTCATCACTAAAGCAAACCTGAAATAAAATATTGTTTTATAATTTCTCATTCCATGTGTGTTTTCATATAAAAATATTAAAATAATTTAAACACAAACCTGTTTCCAATCTTCTACTGTAAAGTTTTTATACTTCAGAGCCCATTTCAATCTATTTTCTTTCATTTTGATTGTTAACTTTGGCTTTTTTACTGGCCGTCTACTATTATAACTGAGATCATTGAGTCTTCTCTGCAATGTTCTGGTGGACATTTGAATTTCTAGAGGCTTGTAATTTATTTTTTATGAAAGAATTAGTAGCAGTCCTATCCTCCTTTATTACTTTCGACAATGTTCTTTCACCACGAGGAGTCAAAATTTTTTTTTTACCACATTTACCTTTTCTTTTCGGTGAACAGTTATCACCCATATCAAATTTTTTGACAACTCTCTGTACTGAGGTATGTGAAATACCACATTTTTTAGCAATTTCAAGCTGTGAAAGTGTTTTTTCATTTATCAATGCTTTTATAAATCCAATTTTTGTTGGTGAAAGATCTCCTTTTTTACCGATTACTAAAAAATACAAGATTTTTGAGGTTAGAGTTGTAACATTATCAAAAATGACCTTTTTAAGTTTAAATTATATTAGTAAAACAAATAAAAACTAAATATTGCACTTACTTCTTCAGAATTCTAAAAAAAAACGATAAAATAGGCAAAGAAAAACAATCACGTGCTTGTAAAGATGACAGTTGAGTAATAGTGTCGTGACAAGATGGCTTCCAGAAATGTCAGGGATGCCAATAGTAAAAAAAAATCTGAAGAAATTAACTTTAAACATAATTGACTTCTTATAAATAATACATTTAAAATATATTACATTACTTTTCAATAGTTAAATTCAACTTGAATAAGAAAATATGAAAAAAATATTGGTGGCACTAATAAATTGTCATGGGACTGTATATATATATATATATATATATATATATATATATATATATATATATATATATATATATATATATATATATATATATATATATATATATATATATATATATATATATATATATATATATATATATATATATACATATATATATATGTGTATATATATATATATATATATATATATATATATATATATATATATATATATACATATATATATATATATATATATATATATATATATATATATATATATATATATATATATATATATATATATATATATATATATATATATATATATGTCAGGGATTATCCTTTTCCGGATATTTTCGGAATTCCTGATATTTTTTTCAAATTTTAGTTTTTCCGGATATCCAAAACATTTTGTATACATACAAGTTTAGGTATAAGTTTTTGTAATTTTTTTTTTTTTTTAAGCTTATTACAGAAAAATAAAGAAAATTTTACTCATCACAGTAGAAAAATAAAGAAAAGCTTGAAAAAAAAATTAGAAACAATATTTAATATATACAATATATATATGTATGTATACATATGTATATATGTATACATATATATATGTATACATACATACATGCATGTGTGCATATATATATATATATATATATATATATATATATATATATATATATATATATATATATATATATATATATATATAATATATATATATATATATATATATATATATATATATATATATATATATATATATATATATATATATATATATTAGGGTGGGTCATAAAATTTTTTTTTTCTTGTTATAGGCTCTAAACATTGCTAATAGTTATTAATATTGATACTATCAAATATAAAAACGATTGTGATAGATTTAAAGGGCGCAACTTTATTGGGAAAATTACCGGTACCCTAATAATTTGGAGAAAAAAGGTTTTTCAAAAGTAGGTCAACCTGGTACTCAAAAGAAGCGAAATTTTATAAAAAATTCGAAAATAATAATCGTTTTATAAAAATCATATTGGCGAAAAAAATTTTATTAAAAAAACATTTAAAAATGAACCTTTTTACTTTTAGTTAAAAAACTATAGTTATTATGCAATAAAATCTAAAATAATAATTTTTATATGAAAAAATTATTATTTTTGAAATTTTTATAAAATTTTGCTTTATTTGAGTACCTACATCACATAATTTTGAAAAACTTTTTTTTTGAATAATAATAGGGCCTGCTAATTTTTGTAATTATAGTTGGGGTGGAAGACATTGTTCAATCCATAGAAGTAAATACTTTCCTAAATTAGTACATAAAAAAACAACTTTCTAGACCATAGCCAGGTTAGCAATTCTAAAAAAAAATGGTAAATTAGTCAGTGATAAGATAATAGCTGAATATCTAAATAGTTTTTTTCTTAATGTAGGTCACAAATTAGTAGCAGAAATTCCGTCGAATTCTGCAATATTTTATTCTTACTTGATTAAGAAGCTTACTTTAGAATAGATTATGAAAGAAACAAATCTAGATTCTAATGAATTGCGATTCGTTTTGAACACTCTAAAAAACAACAAAAGTGCGGGCTTTGATAATATCAGTAGCTTTGTCGTAAAATCAGTATTTGATATCATTGAACCATCATTGCATCACATCTTCGATCTTTCACTGAAATCAGGCATTATCCCAGATAAACTAAAAATTGCCCAAGTCACCCCTATTTTTAAATTTGGAGATGATTTTGATACTAATAATTATAGACCTATATCAGTTTTACCATGTTTTTCCAAATTACTAGAACGCGTCATGTATAATAGAATTTACAATTATTTGACGGAAAACAATTTTTTAAATGGTAAACAATTTGGATTTAAAAAAAACCACTCAACCGACAATGCTATGATTGAGCTAGTTAATCAAAGATCTAATGCTTTTAGTAATGATTGCTTTACGTTAGCAGTTTTTATTGATCTTTCTAAAGATTTTGACACTGTAAATCACGACATTTTTCTAAAAAAACTCGAAGTGTATGGATTAAAAAATAATAACTTACTTTGGTTTAAAGATTATTTATCAAACCAAAAACGATATATACTGTATGAAACAACAAAAATAACAAATAACGCCATAACTTGCGGGGTTCCCCAAGGCTCGATCTTGGGACCATTGTTATTTTTACTCTATATAAATGATTTATATTCAACATCAAACTTATTAAATTTAATCTTATTTGCAGATGGCTCCAATTTGTTTCATTCACATAGAGACATAAAGATACTTTTTAACATAGTTAACAAAGAATTACATAAAATAAACGAGTGGTTCAGATTTAACAAACTCTCTAAAACGAAATAAAAACAAAAATATTCCTCTTAAACTACCTGATCTAAAAATAAATAATACTAATATAAAAAGAGAAACTTTCATAAACTTTCTAGGTGTGATCTTGGATGAAAGCTCCATATAAACACTTTATAACTTTATATAAACTTTTTAGGTGTGATCTTGGTGGAAGCTCCATATAAACACTTTAGAGAGAAAGCTCTCAAGTAATTTTTTATTAATGTATAAAGCAAAACCTTTCCTAAATTTCATTTCCTTAAAAAAATTATACTTTTCATTAATACATAGTCAGTTAAGCTATGGTAACATGACTTAGGCAAGTACAAATTATACTAAGCTTAAAAAACTCTACAGTAAACAAAAACATGCCTATAGAATTGTCTTTGGAGTAAGTAAAAAAGTGTCTTGTGAACCTCTCTTATGCAAACTTGGAGCATTGAATATATACAAAATTAGTATGCATCTTAGTTTTAAAAAGTTACGCATTAAACGTTTTTAAGCGTTTTCCTAATTTCTAATTATTTGAACATTTAGCTGACGTTCAGAACGTATTTAAAAAAAAAAAATGCCCGTTGGGTATGTATACAATAATTATTACTATGTGCATAAAAAACAATGTTAAATCAAAAAAACTTGTCCACGAATGAATGATTTGCGTAGTTAGATCGCTGCTGATTTACGTTTATTGATCGCAACCGAATAATTAATTAGACTTAAACTAGATT